CCGTGGGAATGGCCCACGTTGGAGAAAGGTCGGGGAGGACTGTCTCCCGTGGGGGGGACCCCACGTTGGAGCAGGGGAAGAGTGTGATGAGCCCTCGCCCTGAGGAGGTGAAGCGGCAGAAAATAACATGTGATGACCGCAAACCCCATCCCTGTCCCCCTTGTGCCGCTGGGGGGGCTTGGTGGAGAAATCCGGGAGTGAAGTTGTGCCCGGGAAGAAGGGAGGGGTGGAGGGAAGGTGTTCTGAGATTTCGTTTTATTTCTCATTTACCTTACTCTGGCTGATTTGTAATAAAAAGTGAGCTAATTTTCCCTAAGCTGAGTCTGTTTTGCCCGTGATGGTAATTAGTGAATGATCTCTCCTGTCCTTATCTCGACCCGCAAGTTTTTTGTTATATTTTTCTCTCCCCTGTCCAGCTGAGGATGCGGGAGTGATAGAACGGCTTTGGTGGGCACCTGGCGTCCAGCCAGGGTCAACCCATCACACATGCCTAAACATTGTCATAGGTCTGGTACTTTATAAATAGATGGCTCGGCAGAAGTCCATGGGCTGCTGAACCTAGGTCCAAGGGTTTTTAAATAAATTTTCTTACAGGTCTTTTAAAATAAATTTCCTTATAGCTCTAACAATGAAGAAAGAGTATTTTTGTACATAGAAAGCATTTTAAATAGAAACTACTGGACAATGAGAAAGCCTGAAAAAGGAATGACCTCGTCATTTGAATGGAAGTGGTTACTCTGAGAAAATCCACAAATCCTTGTGCGCTACAACATACATTTTGCAGTGATTCAATGCAGAGACTGTAATCCTCTTTTTTCTGGAGATGGGTAAAAGTTGAGTGTGACTCAGAAAAAAATCTATGATTCACAGTGCTGTAAATGGGGAAAAAAAAAAAAGTCCTGACCACTCAAGCTGTGTTCCATATGATAGCAATATAATTTTTCTGTGTATTTTTGAACTTCCAAGTGTCATCTTAGTTTTCATATTTTGGTAGGTACCTGAGCACAAATCCTGTCCTTCGGGTTCCTTTGGCTTGCATCCTTCTCATTGTTTCAATAAATCATCATCTACCATCATTGTGTTAAGTAAGCTGGACCAATAGTGACATAGACAGAGACCACAAAGATGTAGCTATGGCCCCCCGATACTTCTTTTTGTATTTCAAGAGATGGCGCCATTCCTTTTATGTCAGTTCTGGGACCCGTTCTCTGTCATGCTAGGGAATTTGACATCTTTCCAATAGGCACAAAACTGATGTACTGTCCCTTAATAGTTGATGGGTACTGACTTCAAGAGCAACATTATTATCCCACTGGCTAAATTCCATTCTAGCAACCCAATATTCTTATTATTCCACATGACTAAGACAATTCATACTTCTTGTTCTAAATGTTGATGACCCTAAAATTGCCACGTATTGCTGCAGATGACCAATATTTAACTGTCAGCTTGGTTTAGTTCCAGTAAGATGTGAAGTCATTGCTTTATTTGTTATGCAGCTACTCAGTCCCTTGGGGAATTTTCTGCGTGGAGAATGTGATGTTAGACCTGATGCTATCTGCATATCAAGGTGCTAATAGGAGATTTAAATTATGTGGAAATTCTTACTTCTGCAGGTTATTCATACAGCCAGCTTGGAAGAGAGTCAACAGATAAGGAAACTGGGCTACATGACATTTACTGTCCTTTGGGTACTCTAGGTAGAACTAAGACATGTGATCAGGCATTGAAGTCTATGCTTGTATTATTAAATAAAGTGGGGCCAGGACTGTTTTCTGGCCCTGCAGCCAGGTGGCAAAGAGACTGTGGTGTCCATACTACATTTAGCACTTGTCCTGGCTAGCCCATGGCAGGGTCTAAGACATTTTTACTGTCACTGGTTTTCTTTTTTTCTAGTTCAAAATTCTTGAAACAAATGTCTGAGTGTTGTACTGCACCACGGTAAAGCGGTGCCTTCACGGCCGCAGAGGCTGTGCCATCTGCCTTGGGGTTCCTAGATGTGTCCGAGGGCAGTGCCTGGTGGTGCAGTGCCAGGTATCTGCATGTGGCAAAGGGAGCCATATGCTTTTTCCATGTTATTTTCCAGTGCTGTTCTACAAATCCTACCCAGAAGCTGTCTGGGAAGGTGTTTATCAGTAAGTAGAAGAAAATGACAGAGAATGCTAATGGTTAAGCAGGATGGACGGCTGGTGCCTCAGTGCCCAGGGTTGCTCTGTGGTTCTGTGCCAGTTCCTTAGAGCACGGGATGCAGCATCCTTGGCCACTCGTATGCCTGGCACTGCTGGGCCACTCAAAAGTGGGCAAGTTTGGTCAGAACAGGTGCACAGTGAGAGGAAAGGAGGGGAATTGTAATAGTGCAGTATGGACATCTGCCGGGTAATCTCTGTCAGGGGTTTTGTCTGCTTTATGATGTCTGTAGCACTCCAAGAAATTAGAGATGTAGTGACAGAGCAAACCCAGCAGTTTCAGTGTCTTATGAAAAGAGTCACAAACACCAAAGAAGTTACCACATTTTACTCTTTTTTCCCAAAGTCTTGTACTGGCAGAATCCCAGAGGGCATAAAATATTTTCCTGAAAGAGTAGTTTGGTCCCATCATTTTCCTGCAACACTGACTCAAGTACATAACTAGTGGTTAAGCTGTTGTTGTGGTTTAACCCCCGCCAGCAACTAAGCACCATGTAGCTGCTTGCTCACTTCCCCCCCATCCAGTAGTATGGGGACGAGAATTGGAAAAAATAGTAAAATTCGTGGGTTGAGATAAGAACATTTGAATAACTAAAGTAAAATAAAACATAATCATAACAACAATATAATAATAATAATGATATTGATGATAATAATGGTAGTAGTAATAATGGTAATAGTAATAATGGTAATGGTAATAGTAATAGTAATGAAAAGGAACATAAAAAAAAGAAGAGAAATAAAACCCAAGAAAAAACCAAGTGATGCACAATGCAATTGCTCACCAGCCACTGACCAATGCCCGAGCAGTGATCCGCCCCTCCTGGCCAACTCACCCCAGTTTATATACTGAGCATGGTGTTCTATGGTATGGAATATCCCTTTGGCTAGTTCGAGTCAGCTGTCTTGGCCATGGTCCCTCCCAGCTTCTTGTACACCTGCTTGCTGGCAGAGCATGGGAAACTGAAAAATCCTTAACTTCAGATAAGCACTACTTAGCAACAACTAAAACATCAGTGTGTTATCAACATTAGTCTCACACTAAATCCAAAACACACTGTACTAGCTACTAAGAAGAAAATTAACTCTATCCCAGCCAAAACCAGGACAGCTGTAAAACTTCTTGGGGATTTAAATTGTAATCAGGAAATACAGAAGAAAAGATCGAAAACATGTGATATGTTCCATTACAAGCTAATGGGAAACAGCATACATGGGAAAAGAAAAAGCTTAATTTAACTAGATAGTTAATGAGAGGCATGACCCCAAACAATTCAGAACCAATTTAAGATAGCCCAGCCATTCATTATAACATATATTTTGTACCATTCTCTAAGCATCATGTTGAAGACCTGCCTTTATAAAGGAGTGGAAAAGCAGAGTAAAATGTGATTCACACTACATGGAAAATAATTTTAAGCTCATTTGCAATGTGCAGTGAAAACAAGTCTTTGAAGAATTGGGGAATTTCCATATCAATAAGAAACTCTAATATTAACACAGGCACACTGTTTTTATAAGACACTGTGTGCTAGTATTTCAATTACATGACATTAATTGTAACTTTATTGAAGAAGCAAGCCCATCAGAGGACAAAAAGCAGCTAATGCTGTTAGGGAAAGCAGCATGGATGAGTACAGAGCGCTGCAGCGTTTTGACTGCTTGTCTCATTTCAGGGTTAAGGAAAGCTGCAGACATGGCTGTTCCCTGCTTGCCCAGCAGCATACCATGCATGCACAGGAAAGCTGCTGCTGCCGCTGGTGTCCAGGCAGAGGACATTCCCTCTGGACACACACACTGGCGAGAGGGGAAGCAGCCTGGAGGAATGCGGCTGACCAACCTGGAGCACATACCAGGTGGCCTGCAGGAAAAGAGGCTACTGGGAATGGACCACTGGTCCAATTAAATGTCCTCGTAGGCCACAAGCTGAGGATTACTCATGTAGGGAACTGGCTGCTTATTCTCAGAGCATTCTTCCTCTTGATGGATGCCCATGTGCAAGACATTTTTCTTACCTGTTCTTTCACTGCTGAGGCTGTGTAGACTTGAAGTTCCTTGTTGGAGGGGTTGTGTTTGTTCCATCCGTAAGCACCCAGAGATCATCCTCATCCAGCACTTCAGGGGTCAACGCTCAGTACAGTTTTGAAGAGCTGTAGTATTCATTTTGACTGCTAAAAGTGAAATTGTTAGGCTGTACAGTTTTTAAAACCAGTGGCTTGGTGTTCATGGAGGTGAGGCTAAGGAAAGTTCAGTTTCATGGAAATGTGAAATGTCTGTGTGTTTTTTACTGTTGTGTACTGTGCTAATGGACAAATAAAGTGAAGGCTTGTGTGTTATGTAGCTTCTTACTCAGGAATAATGTGTCCATCACCTGTTTCTGTATTCTGGGAATCAGGCTGCAAAGCCTTTTCTTCCGTAGTAGATTATTTGTATACACCTGGAAGATATCTGGCATATTGTCCATGCTTACATTAGCAAGGTTGAGACAGAGCTACTCTTTTGCCAGAATATAAAGGAGAAATGCAAGAGAAGGGAGAATTATAAATCAGAAAAATTAGTATGACACTTAATATAAATGAGAACTACAAGGAGCATGCCATCTTTATTAGATGTACTGCAGAGAATAAAATAAGGAAGGAAATGGCTAGTAGGTAACAGATATGATAGATCTGAGCATTTCTGAGTTTCAAGACAACTGAAACTAAGAGATGCTTAGACTATCTACAACTCTCCTGGAAAGGTTACAAAAAGTGACAAACATGAAATAAGGGCTCATTCTCTACGTAATACGATGATTTAGTTTTTTTCTAAAGAACCTGCATGTTATTTAATCAAAAAGGTGTCAAAGGCCATAAACTGGGCTAAAGGTTTCAAGAGTTGCCAGAAAAACACCACAGAATACAAAACAAAGCATTTTTCTTTCTTTCTTCATCTGAGACCTTCAGTGAGCTCACCTAATATATGTGAATTTAACAGATGAAGAGAGAAGTTCTTTGTACCTCTGACTGTTAGGCTGGGTTAGGAGAGACCAAAGGTACAAGTGTATTGTACCTGTACTATGGATGCTCTGCCTGAGGGATGTGCAGTTTCTTATGATTCAAAGTTTGCTTGCAAAATAATGGCGCTTTCCTCAATGTTTTGGTCAAGTTCAGAGGAAGTTTGTGATCCGTGAGAACTAAAATTCAGATATCCAGCGGACTATTCTATAGTTGGGAAATAGCAAAAGAAGACCTTAAAATCACATTTTTACACATTTTATTTAGTATGTTTAAATATCTGCATTGTTGCACAGCTCTGTCTATATCAGTAGCTATACAGACACAGAAACACAACTCCACACATGTCACTGCATTGTTCTGAGACTAAACAAAACCAAAATTATCACCAAAAATTGTCTTTGCAGCAAGGACCGTGGAGCAGGACACCCTGTGTTAAAACAGCAACAAAGCTGTGGCAGTAGAACTTATTTCAGTGTTGAGGAAAAGGGGTTAGAAATCAATCTGCGGGGAATCAAGAAGGCTGAAAGTTTTCCTTAATTCTGCTACTTTATGTTCCAGCCTTTAAACAAAATCTGGTGGTGTAGGAACTGCCAAGGTAGATCAGACCACTCACTGGTCTAGATAACCCATGAGCTGGTCTGCTTTGGGGCTAATGCCGTATGCTTCAGAAGAGGGTACAGAAGAACCCCACAGCTGTAGTGAAAGGTCTCCCTGAGGAGCTGTTTCTTTCTGGACAAGGGATGGAATAGGGAGCCAACCACTGCAGGCAGGTTTGAATGTTAAATTTGAAGATGCAAACTCCCAGAAGAGCATTTAAAACCCTATAAATAAAGGTATGCAAGAAAAAACCAGACACAGTGTTATTACTCAAGCTTTTGAGAGCAATTAGGATGAAGCAGAAGTCTTGACTACTCGTAATGTTTTAATACTGCTTTGCAGCTCTTCCATGTGTTGTAGGGGAGTGGAGTCATTGGAGTGGCTGTGCAGAACAATGTCAACCTGACCTGCGGATACGTAGGCGCTATGTACAACAGGAACCTAAAAATGGTGGGGAACCTTGTCCTGCTCTAGAGGAGAAGGCTGGCTGCCTGGAATACCTGAATTACCAGGGAGAGGACTGTGGCCATGAACATGGTATTCTCTTTTTGATTTATCTGTACATTGTGCCCATCAGGGCCTTCATAAATTTTACTGATGTCAATGAACAGAAAAAAAAAGCATCTCTCTGCAGCTAGCTGGTTAAAAATACAATTTAAAACCTTACCTTCTACTGTCATATTGCTCTTTATTCAATTCTTATATTTTTTTTCCTACTCAGGCTTTTCTTAATTTCTATTAAGTAAACAACTAAGCCGCGTGCATTCCTTCAGTTTGATTTAAGCCCCTCAGAAAGTATCAAATTATCTCTGTGCAAAGTTAGAACACAAATTCAGTACAGAACAGGAAACAGAGCTCCTTGTAGGATTCCAGCTCATCCTGTTTCCTCACAGACTAGATGGCATGCCTAGATGTCTAGATATATTTCTTCTGAATAAGAGCTTAGCTGTAGGGAATGGGGTTGAAGTCTGAGGTTGCCAACATTTTATCACTTTTTCAATGAAGTCAGTCAGCATCACCATCCACAAGCTCCTGATTCATTCACCCACTGTTACAGTAATTGAAATGACTCAACTGTGTCTTGCTGCCTTACCATAACTTTCTTCCTTAGTCCCTGCTTTCATAACTACCTCTGAATATGGTAAAGAAAGAAAACGACGAGCAGCATCTTCTCTCTGGCCTTCAGACAAAGAAGAAGCTGGGTAATCTATTTATCATATGCATGTGGGTCATCTTGTTCAACAGAAAATAGCTGACTACAGGGAAAAATGTAATTAAATTTGCAATAATTAAAGAATAAGCTATAGCTTGTACTGTTTTTCTCTCCTGCAGTTCATTTGCATGTTCTAGATGTTGTTTTTTATTACTTGCTAATTGTCCTGAATTAGACATCAGGGTCATGGAAAGTCTGAGGATAGCTGGTTTTGAAAGCAAACAGTAAATAATGCTAAACCAAAGCCGAGTGTATCCATAAGCCTAAGTCTGAGAAATTAGATATAGGTCTCTGAACAAACAAAATGGGCTGCATGTGAGGGGTCTCAAGAGACCTTTTTTTTAAATTAATTGACACAGGCAGTAAAAAATTTTGTTTGGTTACCAGTAGAGATGGTTATGAAGTTCAAATTAGGCTATTACTGGGCCTGTAACGCTCATACTGCTTTGCCCTATGTTGCACTCCCCAGAACAATAAAGCCCATCGGTATTCTTAAAGCCTCTCTTCCGTTTTCTCTTTTAGCAGCATAGAAGTAAAAACATGGGTTACTGACATCTATTTTTCAACATAATTTAAGAATACAGAACACAACCAGAAAGTGAGATTATACATAAGCACTGGACTGGGGCATGGAATGGAAAGTTTGCATAATGTTTTTAAGAATCCATTAATTAGGTTAGGGTCAGAAACGGACTTGCTAGCAATGATGTCTAACTTGCACTTCACAAATACCACCCATATGATATGTAAGTACATTTGAAGTGTATACCTAGCTTGTGCTTTATCTATCATAACTAATTTAGTACTTTTCCCTCTGAGCAGATACTGTGTGGAATTTAAAACAGAATCACTTTCACATCACTGTGCTTTGGAGAATCGGCCATACGCTCGATGGATGCAGTACCTACGAGAAGGACACATTGTGTGTGTAGCTTGCCAGCCTCCAGCCATGAATACTGACACGCATCGTTGTTCTGGAGATGGCCATAATGCAGATAGGTAAAGAAAGCCATTTTTCTGCTGTGTGTGTCTTCTGTAGCAAAATCCAGTACAGAAGTTAAGACTTCTCAAGGTGTCATTAAAAGCTGCATTTAGTATACCTAAAAAATGAAATGGCTCATATCACTTGTAGAGCTCAGATTTACCCTTTCAGCTCTCACAGAAATTGCTTTTAAAATCTAGATAAAATTGGGAAATAATTTCAATATAAGAGTTCAGTGCTTTGAATGCTTTATTTGCTGTTGTGAAAGAATGATGCAACTTCTGTAGTGCAAGAGATCTTTTTACAGTTATGGGGGCTTTTACTTAAAAACGGTATTTCCTGCAAATCTGATTTCAGGTTTAACAGTGGTGGATCAATACTCCTCTCAAACATATACACCTGGTTTCTAGAACAGTAGTTTTGAAAGTAGATGTTTAATATTTGGAATAGATTTTTATTTGATCCATACATTTATTAATATGCATACTACTTAATACCTGTACAACCAGCTACTCAATCCACCATCTGTATACTATACTTAGGAATACAGTGCCTGCTCCAGAAAGCATTTTAAGTGCTAGATGAGCTAATTAAAGTCTTACATTATTAAGCAAATCTGTGTTCTACAACACAACCTAGCAACATGAAAAATACAGTTTTCAGTATATTAATTCCTCATTTACTGTCATATTTCAGAAGTAAAATCTTACACTGGGAAGCAGTTGGCAACTCTCAGTGCCAAGGAACCTGGAAGAAGATTCGGCAACTGAAGCACTGTTCATGTCCCCTTGTGCATAGCTTTATTTTTACATAAAAGTTTAAAAGACCTTTAAAACAGCAACAACAAAAAGATTAAGAAAATTAACACCAATGCCAAGAAACCTGCATGTTTCTGCTGCATTTTCTGGAACCTAAAAAAAACTTTAAAGGAGTCAGAACTTTGGAAGAAACATTTCGGGAAACTCTCCCTGCCTTAATACAAAACACTAAGACTGATCTTTGTATTAGAACACTAGAAGCATTTTTCCATGTTTGTCTTCTGTCATTAAAGAGCTGATGTTTCTAATTGTAGTAGCTGCTTTTCCTAAAGTTCTCATTCTTTACTTGCACAGTCCTGTCTACAGGCACTGCTCCTACTCAGTAATGAGCCAGCCAAACATTCTCAAGTCTGAGAATATTTACTGTCATCATTAAATAGCAAGGGTGAATAAAAATGAAAATTTGAGAGCTAAAACCAGATTTCAGTTTAGATCCTTTGTTCCTTCCCAATATCATCTAGACAGTTGTTTATACTACAAGTGGGTAAGTATTCCTGCTCTACATTGCATTTTTCATGTTCAGCCAACCTTCATAAAAAGATATGACTAGTCAGCATTGTTAAGGAAGTAGTCTTGCTCAGAACTTCATGTCACTAATACACAGTGTGAACTTTATGGCAGATGAACCTAAACAAGACTTTGTGACTAAGCCTTGGTTAACATTAAAAAAAAAAATTACTAGTTAAAACTGCTTATGTACAATGATCAACATAGAAACCTGCAATGTTAGAGCACTGGCAAGACTGCTATGCAGGTAGCTCAAATCCTTGTTTTGTTACCTATAACTTACCTTCAGTTATTGTTAACAGCATTAAAGAGGCTGCATACTGCATTTTATCACTTGTCAAATACCTGCTATGACTTTTGAATTGTTGGCTTACAGCTGCTCTAGCAGTCCTTGCTGAAGGACAAAGCCTGTAATTTTATCAAGATCCTGAAATTCACAATGTTTGCTAAAAAGAAATTATGCCTTAAGGTTGAGAAAATTTACTGTTAAGACATGCAGCATCTCTGTGGAACCTAAAGACTACTGCTTGCCACTGTTTCTAGGAGCTGCAAGAAGGAACCATAGCATCTGGTGGCAAGAATGAGGAAGGAGATCTGGCTGAGGTCCTGTCCACAATAAGAGTGTGAAACAAACCTTTGTAACTGTACTTTACCATTTTATCTTAATGGAAGCAGGCCTCCAAAACAGAAAGCAAAGAGATTATCTTAATGCTTCCTGAACATTTCAACCTTCAAGAATGTATCTCTTCCTTTGTAGCCAGGAAAAATATCCCAGAGGTTTATTTTATTATGACCACTTTGGACAGATGCTTTTCCTTGTAAGGTTCTTGTAAAATAAAAACCTTATTCAAGGATAAAGGCACAGAAAACATCTGAATTGAAGAGATTTCACTTTTAAAAGAATGCTGTGATAAGTTAGTTCAAGCCACTAGATTCACACCAGTATGACAGTGGAAAGTGTGGGTTTTCTGAGGTTGTGGAACTCTTTTCCACACAACCTGAATCAAGAGGGACAGCGTAGTACCATCATCGATTACAGTCTCTCATAAGCAGGACATTTACAGTGACCAACTGACACCCTGATAGTTAATTACCCCCATCAGAGTGTATCTTTGCTTGCTATCACTGCAGACAGTGGAGGGCATAGATGAACCATGTCTCCTGAGCTGTGCTACCAGTGTCAGTATAGACTCATTATTGAGCCCTGAGCTTTCCCTTTCCTGCTGGTCTAGAAGAAGCCACTTCTCAAGACAAGTTATGTGGCACAAGATAATCAAGAAATGTTAAGAGCTAGTACCATACTGTTACTTTTCATATGTTTTCCATCTCTTCTGCGAGAAAAAAAGTGTTATTATGCTAATATACCTAAGTTCAAAATAATCTTCCACCTAGAACTTAAGCTTAATTCTTTAACAACAACAACAAAAAGCAACACCTTTACTACTTATAAATATAAAATTACATAAATTATCACATTTTTAACTGCAAAAAAAGGAATCAATTTGTAAAATTAGTAATACCAATACATACATATTTTTTGGTGTAACTTACTGACAGAGATGACAAATCTGACCAAAATTTCAAAGTGAAGCAAATCAGATTAGAATGGGTTATATGGCAGGAGATAAAATGATAAAAAGCTCAATCTGACTAGAGATAAAACCCTTTTAAAATACAGAACACTTGACTCTGTATTAGCCTCTATCAAGCTAAACATGTTGCCAGTCATTTAGTGCCCTTATGTACATAACTGACCTTTCTTAAATCACTGCACGCATTTTCACATTTCAGAAATTAGGTCTTGCATGCAGAAAAAAGGCCAAGCTTTGCATTTAAGTCATCGTTACCCAAGCAAGTAAGCTTACATGAACGTTTTATACCTATCACTATTCTGTTTCATGTTTTAGGACAGCAACACTGCTGGACACTCTGAGACTAAAATAAGTTATTATTCTGAAAAGCTAGACTAGGTCTTTATTTAGGGAAAGATTGAGCTGATTCCTGCAGTCCAAATTAGCCTTGTTCGATCCTGCACAGTGTTCTCCACCGGTCTTTTAACATGACACTAGTTCGGTTGTTGAAGTCACCATGGACCAAAATTTTAGCCCAGTTACCCACTCCAAACTCCCTTATTCCTGATTTCAGTTCCAAGTCTTCTTTGTAAGTCCATCGCTAGGGGAAGAACAGAGAAAAATATTGGATACGTGAACAGAGAAAGGTACTAATGTAAAACCTAAGCTTATAGCAAATATAAAAGCAAGTTTTTATACAGCTCTCTAGTTATTACAGAGTACAGATGTCTGAGGGTCAGTAAGGTCATTTTGATTTCTTCTGAGCACCACAACTTGACACTAAATACAACAACAAAGGTTACCAAGTCAAGCGTTACAACACAGTAGCAGACATCACCTGGAACAAGAACCACATGCTTCAGCATTCACAAGTTACAGGAGGAAAAGAGAAGAAAGAAGACATTGGACAAAGTTTTGCTTCATTCAAAACATGCTTTCCAAAATTGTACTTTATTAGCTAATTGAGCCAAGACAAACCTTGACTGATCCTAGTATGCCTCACAAAAGAGAAATCAAGAGAGATACCATTTACCAACAAAGGAATTTCAGTGTGCTTAGAAAAAACAAATCCCAATATTTAAAATGCTAATAGAAGTAAAATGATACATATTGCATTTGAAAGTGAGATCAGCCATATCCTCAGGTAACAGCTATGCATTTGCTTTTGACCAATTGTTGAACCCACTACTTAATTCTCATTGTCATGACCTACAAGCTTTTTAATCTTTAGGGGATGACATTTCTCTCATAAAAGGAGAGAAAATTACTTGCAGTTATACATCTGCAAGGAATCCCTTCCAATGAAGTTCTCCAGACCAGTTCTTCCTTAGTCGCTTCTTGATACAAATATCTCCATACAAACAATTTTAAGACTGCACACAGAGTGAAAGAAAACTTAATTTTTTAAAAATCAAATACTTGATTTTTAAAAACTTACCTTTAAAATAAAGTGTGAGGGAGAACTGGGTATCAACTTTCTTTTATTGTAGCTTTATAGAAATATGCATATATAAAATAAAGTTTACAGATCCTATATATCTGATCATACCTACTTTTAACTACTGCATTTTTAATACAGGTGTATTACATACAGTCCTTTTTTCACTCTGGAATAGCAATTAGCAACTTTAATATGAAATTATTTTAAAGCAACTTATTCTGCTAGAATCTGATCCTCTGCAAATATCTTCAAATCCTTGCTTGCTTAATATACAACTAATCATACTGATGTATGATCAGCATATCTCCTTAGGCAAACTGAATTGCATATCATCTATGCAAATACAGGACAGGATCCCCAGTTGAAAAAACTGTGTAGGAAAACCGTTTCTAAAAAGTAAGTATCAATTTTTATTTAAAACTGCAGTTTGCTAGCATGTTCCTTCTAAATGTATTCCCCAAAATCTGAAATGTAAAAAGACTTAACTTAAAAATGTTAATGAGATTGAGATGTACAGAGAATTGTACTGTGTAGCTGTTCCATTTAATTTATCTGTGTTCACTTCTGCTTCTTGCACTGGAGATGTCCTGCTGCTCCTGATGGTCTTATGGACCATAGTAAGTTACGAAAGGAGACAAATGGTCAATTTTCACTGCTCTCATGCTGGCATTTCTGTGAGCACCAGCAGATTCCATATTAAAAATCATTAGTTACTGGACTTTTACAAAACCTGCATGTGTTTACATGCATGTCATGAGCAAATGACTGCTGAAAATCCAACCAAGAATCTCTCTTATTTCTGCATTTAACGATCATCTGTGTTTTACTTATTTTGGAGCTGCTCTGAAATAGCAAAAAAGTCAGCATTTTGTTCATAAGAGCACCATGAAATTTACATAGGCAAGTGATCAAAAGCACTGCAATTACTTACTCTTGTTCAGTGTGTGAAAGCAAAATGGTTAATGTCTCATAGGCTTTTGCAGGCCTCATAAGTTAATAAGCATTTGCAGCTAACAGTCATGCAGGTCAGAATGATTTAATTGACAAAGGAGTGAATTATTTGTAAAAGGACGTACTGTCTAGAGCCTCCTTGTCTGATGAATTTCATTCGCTGTTGTTATGTACCATATGCTGCTTATCTGACACAGTTTTGGTAAAAAACGGGTTGTAAAAGTTACAGGAACTCTGTAGCTGCCCCAGCTGGGCAGAGTTCACATCTGCAGAAGCTGTCACTCTGCTGCTCCCTGTCCTCTCCTATAGCCATAGCAATAAACTGCTTCTGCTCTGACCTCATCTAAATTGCAATTCAGGTTATTTCCACAATAGCATCTGGTGCTGTGAGTGGGATTCACATGTCCTTCAGTCGGGAGGATTGCAGGCTGCTCCCTGCCACTGCTTGGAAAGGTACAGGACCTTTTGAAATCCCTGCTGGGGCTTCAGCCAAGGGTCATCTGTAGGCTCCTGCAGCGTGCAGGGCGCTGCTGAGTCCCAGCTTTTAATACAGGTCAGTCCAGTGCCCCACTGCCAGCTAAGAGGGAAGGGTAATTGTAATACTGATCTGGTCAAGGTAAGTCTGGAAAAGGTACTTCTGGTATCTGGTAAAATTTAAGAGAGGTTGGTCAGGAAAGTCTGGGTTGGTTTCAGCTATTAACATGGTATGAACAAGCCAGATTCAGGACAGAGGTGAAGCCACATGCAGCTGCCCCAGCGGGGATTGGCATTAACTTAGCTGCAAGGGCAAGGGGTGGAGGTTTGGTCCTGGATTACCAGTTATCCCCTCCTCTTCCCTGTCTCTAGCTCCAGTACAAGCTTCCTTGGGACCTGATGTTAGCAGTCCTGACCAGCACAGTGGGCCCAGGATAGACATTGTGACCAGGAGGAGGCCTTGTGTGTCCTGTAGCTATTCCTTTGAGTCTCTAGTTATCATCAGGCTGGAATGCCAGCCTGGCAGTAGTGACTGTGAGCTGACACCCAGGCAGCATAGGCACCCTCTGCCTTTCCCTCATCTCCTTGAATGAGTGAAACATTTCACCTTTTGCCTGAAAGGGAGACATCTTGCAAGTGTACACTGGAGTATGACTGGAACAAAGTGCCCATGGGATGAGTGTGTGAGTGCTTGTGTTTAGTGTATCCAGCTGTACCAGCCAGCAAGCAAAAGGACCTGCAAATGCAAACATTTGCGTGCCTGTGAACCTAGAGAGGGGTGTGTGTGTGCTTTCACCAGTGAACATACACCTCTACCAGCCAGAGAGGAGGAAGAGACTTGGCTGGCTGCATTTATGTCTCTCATGGGTACCACGTGTGGGTGCTGTTGAGGGCAGCACCTTGTCCATGGCAGTCTGTGTGATCGGACGTGTCAGTGTCCCCTTTGCCTGTGTCCTGTGTCTGTGTGCCTCTGGGATTTGTGCTCAGCTTCACTACTGGGCAAACCTGCAAAGAGGAAAGCAGCAGCCACATCCCCCAGCCTGGGCAGGGACCCTGGGTCCCCGGGTGCTGGGCTGGGCTCCAGCAGCCAGGCGGGAGGGTCCTGGATGGGGGCTGCTGGAGGAGGCGGCCACTTCTAACATCCCTTAACAGTTTTGTAGCTAGCAGGGCCTGGCTGAGTTGTGAGTATTCCCAAGATTAAATGTATATAATCCTTCTGTGATGGGAGACCGATCCTTTGCTAATGTGCCCATAGTGTTAAGTTTGTAAGCAAACTTCTAGAGCATTGTGGGGGCACCCAAACAGGACCAATGCTACTAAATCCTCAGGTTAATTGGAACAAGTGGATTGGAAAAGAGGTGTTTGTAGAACATTAGAAGAGCAGTAAGAGTTGTAAATGGCTGAAGCTAAAGGCCTAGTGATCCAAATTTGTAGTGTGTGGATGAAAAGAGAGGTTTACCGGAGTATGTACAAAACCTCCTCCTGTAAGTAACAGGTCACTTCCAACTATCAAATGGATAAACAGTGTTGGCTATAAAGCAGGAGGGAAACTGAGAGAATCGGGCTATGGCTGAACTCTCTACAGTTTGAACTTTCAAAGTTGTGAAGAATTAGGTAGAAAGGGAAATGCACAGTTGCAAAAGAGTGGCCTCATCTTACAGAGATTTAAACCTGATAAAGGTGAGTAGTAGAACCTAGTGGTACAGAGGAAATTGGTGAATTATGAGGGAACTATCGCCTAACTCTGCAAATAATCTACCCAGTGGAAATGTAAATCTCATGGCTGCTGTCATTAGACAAATGCATACCAGCCCACTTGTGCACAAGGGGTGGGTAGGACAACCCAGGGCCAGGCAGTATGATTGTCAGTGGCACAAGAGGTCTATGTGTCCAAGGACAGTCAGGTAAATCCCTCATCCATCGAGACAAAGTTTGTTTTGTTTTGTTTTTGGGGTTTTTTGTTTGTTTGTTTGTTTTAAAACTTTCTCCTCTCCTAATGACTTGGAACCCTTCTGGGGATCCTTAAAAGATTCTGCCCTTAAGAGCAACAACAATTCAGGCACCAGGGATGGGCCAGGTGACAATTTTGGGTGCCACTGAATTTAAGCTGCTAAAAGCAGCAACAGCACTCAGAGCCGAAAGGCGGGGGGATGTCTCTGGCAGGGAAGGAGCTTAGATAACATTCAGCCTGATCAAAATTGTATTCTGGTTATTCTGCAAGAAGAGAAAATTTGGCATCTACACAAAGTGTAAGCTGAGGTACACAAAGATCAAACATCACATCTGAAAGCTGCACTTATTCCAGCTTAATACAACTATCAGTGCCTCTTCAAGAAACTATGATCACTGATAAGCCTCACTAAGCAGTGAAAGAATTAAGAGTGGTAGTAGTTCAGCTGTGTTTCTAAACAGTTAGAAACCTAAAACTTCTCTAAAGTAGTCTACCCTTTATAAAAAATACCTCCTTTTCCCAATACTTCCTGTTCCACAGATCTTTTCCAACATTAGCAGTGAATGGTGTTTTTTTTACTATTATTAAAAAGCCAGAGATTCCATTGGAACCATCTAGTTCTTCTAATTTCTGAGCATGCCAGAAAACTTTCCTAAATAAAATCTTTATTCAAGTAACACAGTTATGCTTGACCTACAGCACCAGATAATTCACATATTTCCAGCAACAGAGACAATCACAACCCTTGTTACTTGTTGTAATGATTAATTACATTTGCTGTTAAAAGGGTTGGGTTTTGCTTGTTTTGCTTTTAAATTTCTTATATTGAGCTTTTTTTAAAAAATAAATTTCTTCAGTTTAACACATAAATGAGGAGCCTGCCTTACAGGTAAGCCAAGAGACTGACTCATTTTCTTTTCACTGAGGCATTGTATAGAGCAGTAACTTGCCCCCCTCTCTCCCCACTAACAAACAGCCTGTGCCCTCTGGGATGGCAGTTACATAGATGCTAGCATTGCACCATTACAAGCTACCAAGACTGGTTGAGAGACTGGACATAATGAAGTACTATGCTTGAGCTAACATAATCACAGCGCCTAGTCCAGAGCAATGTGACATCTGGCTAGCTCAGAATGCTGGCAGAGCAAGCTTGAGCTTGCCAGACTGTGTAGACATATCCTTACATATGTAAAGATCTTGTTACTCCTTAGAGTCAGGTCTACTCTAGTAACCCGTCTTCATTTGATTGTGCATTCTGGGACTCTGCTCTGTTTCGCTTTTTTTCCTCCAAGTTTAAATACATGGAAATTTTTTTCCACACAAGTCTGACTAGATTCTGAAAACCCAGATTTTCAGACACATTCTTTAATTTGAGCAAACTGTCAGTCAAATTTTAGACAACTCACAGGACTTGCCATAAATATACAGGATATAAAGTTGAGTACAAACAGTTCCCTAAATTCTGTGACACTTGCATCCCCTAATTTAGGAACGAGAAAATAAAGTACACTTCCTTTCAATAGCACTGCAGATTGTTGTATGCAGCTAAATGAAAACACAGCAATGAAAGGCTGAAAACAGGCACTGAACCATTGCAATGAAATGCCATTTACAAAACAAGAGCAAACAATGCCAACATTGAAAGAGGGACTACATGGAAAAGGAAGTTCTAGAAGTCAACAGCTCTGACATTCACTGCATTCTTTCATGCATGGAAGCAATTTTATAACCCAGATTATTAAGCAGAGGAGCAGATTTATTGTTTAAAAGGCCCATATCATTGCTTTCTATACACTATTTATGAGAGGTCTCACTGGCAGGGAATATGGCATAAATTTCAGACAGACAGAAAAGTCAGCATTTGCTAAGTGTTTAAAGAAACACAGTTCTGAATCTTAACTTCCTTCAAGTTTTTATAAAATTTTCAGTGAGCTCCTCAGTACTATTAGATGTAGTTTTCTATAAATTTAGTCTTTACATTTCAAATAAAGTTGAACTATAACAACAGAATTAAGCACAACTTCTATTTTTTTTTTTCTAGTGAGATGTGTGTACAAGCCCTAGACCTGGATACAGTGCTTGTAACTGACCCCATAACAGACTACCTCAACATGAAAATTGGCGAATATGAAGCTGTCATTAGCTCTGTGCCAGTTGTGGTCCAATTAGTTTAAGTCTTGATGTTGAAAACAAGATTGGTGGAAGTGTGTATGCTTACCAGCAACTGGCTGACAAGGTACCTATCCAAGTATAAGCTGGAATAAAGTAATTGATAATGTTTTTGAAGGCAACAAGCAAATCCAGTAAGTGCTGATATTTATTTTTAGGGCACAGGTTCTATTTGCAGCTTTTAGGGAGGTTCTCAGTGATTTAACTCTTCCTGAGATTTGTGAGAAAGTAAAAAACTGTTTGTATTTAGCAGGGGGCTTAACCTCCAAGGACAGATGAGCTATCATTAGGACCTCAACCAATTTGAGGACAGCACACAACTGAAGATTTAACCAGTACATCACCTTTAGTAAAAATGCTTAAAGAACTAGGAATAAGTACAACTGTCCTCAAGGACAGTCTGAAAAAACATAAGCCCCTCTCTCCCTGTTATATGAAAAATGAAATGCCAAAAGGAACACCAGAAAAATGAAACAGCTCACACCAAAATGCATGTGTTGATAACTTCCATTGTTATCTAAACAGAAAGACTCCATAGTGCTTCCTAAGAGATATTCTCAAGAGGACTTCAACAATGGGTATATGTTTATTTAATATTAATTTCATTCAGAAGCGTTTATCGTCTTATCATAACAATTGAAGAAAATTGGCTATGTGCAAGAATCAGTTTGTAACAGTTCACCCCAACATCAAATCAACTTCAAATTCCCTTTATTAAAGCATACACTTCAGTACTTCTCACCAATAGTGAATTCTAGCATTAGTGAACATAGTAGAATTATTTTAAAGTAATGCAATGAAGCAAGCTTACCCATGAAGAGAACGCAAAGGACTGTTTGAAATGTAGCATTATAAAAAGACCCTATTATTTGGGTTATAAAAACTAGAATAGTTTCCCAAGTAAATATATGTTTTCACTCATATGAACAAAGTATTGAATTATAAAATTGCTAAATCTTTAACATTCTAAGTGGCAAAACAGAAGGTGTTTGATGTTTGCCCAAAACTCTAATGGGCAAACGACATCCTGAATTCTTTAATCCAAAGAGTGGAAAGAATTTTTTATTTTTTCACATGTTTTAAAAAGACTCAGACTAAGCTTTAGTAACAGGGTATTTCAACAAATTAAAGGCTCATAAGCATTAGCAACAATATTTGAGACTGCACAAAAAAAAAAGAGGTACTTTTTTAAAGCAGGAATTAGAACTTAAAAAAATGTTTCAGGAGCTGTAGCACAGCTTGAGTAATGTGGAGGATCTTAAACCCAGGCATTTTGGAGACAGACTCAAATGAAGTTGGGAAAAAAATTCTATGCAGTGCAGATTGATTTTATCTCCATTTAGACTAGAGAATGGGTACAAACCTGTCTTCTTCGGCCACAAGCCAAAGCATCTCCATGTTTTTCCACATTTTGCAAGCTGTTCAGACCTAAAAGACAGTTAATACACATCCAGACCAATGAGGAGTCAACATTTAAGGCAGCAGTTTTGCATTCTACTATTTACATGAGACAAGAATGTACACTATTTTGATATTCTTTGACAGACTGGGAAGATTTCAGTATCTGTTTATATATGAATAAATTTTTATATATGTATACACATGAACCTCACCTTAGTCCAAGGACTCAAAAAATAGTTTGAAAAAATACACTATTTTCTACACAACAGAGCTCACAGAAGAATTATATTTTAAACAATAGGTAACAATTGGTACATAATAATGAAACATTGTTATTTCATTTTGGGAAAAACATTTTTACTATACATACTGTTTCCATTTTACATAGAGAGAGAACTGAAACTAAACAGCAATCAGGGCTATGATACTTTGTATACAGGTCCCATCATTTCCAGAGAAGGTGTCAGGTTCTAACTGTGGCAAGCATTTAAGGCACCTTACGAGTCTGTCCTTCCAAGTACAACATGGCCACGTGCAGAAGCTATAATGTCATTTCTTTCTGGTAAGAGGGTGCTAATGGTTTTCAGAAACTACTTAATATATCATCCATGTTGTAAGTTTTTTAAAAGTAATACCAGGAAGATGCACGGACATCCTAACTTTGTGCATTTTACGCTACAATTTGTTTTTCTAAATCAGCCAACCTCTTTAGTTCCCTTCCCCCAAAGTTATCTAGGTTCTAAGTCAGAAAGAGACAAATTTCAGTATTCCTCTGGCAGCTTTCTTTTGCACAGAATACCATAAATCCTAGGAAAGCAAACAAAAACCCAAGTGAATCAGAAAATAGTGAATGATTTTGCAAAATGAGTTGCCACAGCACCTTAAACCATTTCATGGCTTCCTAAATATGGCCCCCACCAAATCTGCATTTGTGCAGAAACCACTGACAACGACTGGGAGGGTTTTTTCACCACAATCATTTTTATATTAACCTAATCACATTGGACAGCTGTTACCAAACCACTAGCCCATTTATCCAGGAGGGTGTGAGGCGGGGCGGGGGCAGAGCTTGGGGGGAAAGTGTTTGACATGACTATTTTGAAAGTGTAAAAATAAGCTAATACTCACTCTGAAGAACACTGCTCACTCTGGGTTTCCGTCCTGGATGAGGCCTGCAAGGAACACAACACTGAAGTAAAAATACACAGAACTTCATGAAATGTCCATGACCAAGAGCAACAACAACAAAAAATAATTTTTACCTTACTGTGGGTTTCTTTATGCCTCCAGGTGGCTGATCTGTAATACTCTGTTGCTCTTCCATTGATCTTAAAAAAAACCACAAACCACAAACCACACACACCAAAAAATAACTTCCTAGGCAGCAACTTGCCATTTATGTGATTCAATAATATTTAAATGAAAGAAAATCACAAGATTTCTCTACAGAAACAGTGGCATACAAACACTTAACTGCTTCAATCCATTAACCCTCTTAACCTTGGTTCCCTATACCTGGAGAAGAAACATACAAGACATCACACATTTAAGTTGAAGACATGAGGCATTTTGCACATCTATTTTTTCATACCATCTTCACAATCTAGGAATTGTTTCCATAGGTTTTTTTGATCAAGTCTGTCATCATACCTCTCAGATGTAATTGTGTCAGGAGTTTCCCTTCAAAAAAAAAAAAACCCAAAAACCCACCACCTTATGACTCATCTTCCTATATACTCTGTCTGCATCAGTCAATTTCCTTAACTAAACAATGCCAAGTATTCCAAGTATAAAACTGCAGAAACACAAGTTCTATCCTAACTAAAGACTACAATTTATTCTCCATGAAAAACAAGTGGTGATAAGGCCGGAATATTAGTATTTTTCAAAATGAAGTCAGAGGAGGGGGGAAGGAACTGTGCTTCAAGTTCCCCCAGCTTTTCTTAGCAAAGCATGCAATTGTTTTGAGGGTTCACATTGCCAGAACCATGAAGCAACATAACTATTTCCCATCACGCTAGTATCACTAAGTAAGAGAATCTTGTGTTTAGCTGTAAGGAAGAAGTAATAAGACTAATTCCCTTTCCTTATCCTCTTTTTTTCCTCCAGACAACCTATAGCCTGAAATTAGGAAGGCAGGACTAAATGGAGCTCAATCAAGCATAACAACAACAAAAAAGTGAATTGTTTTTATTGTTATACAAGACTGACAGCTGTTTCAACTGAAAAATGTGCATCTTCAACAAGTACTTAAACTTAATGCCAAGCTATTTGATGTAAATGCCAAAGGTAACAACCATAGAAAAGCCAAAACTTAAAAATAGAGAATGTGCTTGTAGTTAATTTTCTATTGGACAGCAGTTTGGAATTTAACATCCTTCCTTCTACCTACACTTAGTTCTACAAGTTTCAAGTTACTGTCCAAGCATGTGCCTCAGCAGTATAATGCTTAATACAAACCTTTGATTTGTTTCCAAATTCCTTTTGTCGTTTTCATTCATAGTTTTGTTTTGCAATGCTGTTGCTCCCAGTCCTTTAGACTCCACGTGTTTTGTGGCTGCCTGCAAGAAATTTAATTGATGCTTTAAAATTAAAGCCAGCCAGTACCTAGATAGCAGTTTAAACTAAGATTAATACATGTACTCTCTATTAGGACTAACAGTGCTTATTTCACAGACCCTTCAGAGATATTACTATTAAAATAAGTAGTTTCAAAACAACTGTAGCATGTCAAGTTGAAATCCATCAAAATCTTTATCAGCTAATAACTCAGAGAAATTTTAGTTATAGCCACAAGTGATATTTATATGGACACAAAAAAATACAATGAATAATTGCATAATAAGAGAACATATAGATGTGTGAAATACATTGCAGAAATCAACTAAGATTGCAAATACTATCAAAGTACTCCAAAGTCTGTTTTTTATAACTAGATTAGAAACTGAAAACTGGCAGGCCTCAAGTTCATCCAGTTCTGTAGCGCCCGGCAGGATCAAGCATACCTATAACACTTGCAAAAGACACATGTCTAATCAGACTTTAGGCTTGTAATGTAACCGTTCCTGTATTAGCAAAAGAATTTTGTAACATCCTGCCTAAACTTTTAACCACAAACTAAGATTATTTCTCCTCCATTCTCAAGAGGAGGAAGGACTAGTTCATTATTCTTTATAGAATGTCAAGAGGATTGCAAGATTTGTACTTTTCCATAGGTTGCTCCCACCTACTTGCTATAATAAATAACAACTTCAAAAAAAAAAAAATCACTTAGTCCATGTGAAGTCATTCTTGCCACTTTGCTATCAACTTTCTTCTCTAGCATCTTAAGGTATAGTTACTGCCCAAACCATAAAAAAATCCTGGCTGTGCACCATCATTACTAAGCACAGCCAACCATCTTCCATCCGACACTGTCTATACATCCCAAGAGGCAATCCATTTTGCAACACTCAAATATCAAAATGATTCAAAGTTGACAGAGTCACTACAGGCCCAATATTCTTTTTCTGCTTAGCCAGTTGCTCCCACTTTTCATCTGTTTCTTCCTTCAGGGCTTGCTTTTGCCTCCTCTTTCACCCATCCAATTTTTAGTCTTCTTGAAACCTTAACCTGTCCTTCACAGTAGTTCGCGGAATCTCTCAACATTTATAGGAGTCAGATAATATGAAACCACCCTCAATTTCACTCATTCATCCATGAAAATACTGGAAGATATTCTGGTCACAGAATACTTCCATCACAGAAGAAGATGTTTCAATGTCAGAAATTTCACAGCTACCCAAACTAGCACATTTTTTAGCTGCAAGTTTTCAAAATACCGACTCTTTTATAGTGGTTGATAGTAGCAAAACATGTGAAAGTGAGGACATATCCATGAAGACAAATGGGTAGAAAGGATTTAGCTAAAAAAAAAAGTTTAAATCCACTATATTGTATTTTAAAAGTTAACAGTAGCTTTCAAATTGTACTTGTCCCTAAAAATAATTCTTTTGAAAGAGAAATGAAAGTTATAAAGAAAAATTACAAAGTATTCAGATCAATGCGTTCTTGGTATAGGTCTTTTTTCCTTGTAATGCATTATCTGCAGACTGTTCTTAGGGCAGCTAATCTATAAGTTTCTTGAAGCGCAAGAACTTCATCAACAGTAGGAGCTGCAATCTTGTAGATTCCAAGCTTGACAATAATCTAGAAAAAGCAGCCTACAAAACAGTCTAGCAATGTAGACCACCTTATGGTGGATGAAAAGCTGGACATGAGCTGGCAATGTGTGCTCGCAGCCCAGAAAGCCAACTGTATCCTGGGCTGCATCAAGAGAAGCATGGCCAGCAGGTCAAGGGAGATGGTTCTGCCCCTCTACTCTGCTGTGGTGAGACCCCACCTAGAGTACTGCATCCAGCTCTGGAGCCCTCAGCACAGGAAAGAAACTGTTGGAGCAGGTCCAGAGGAGGTCCACAAAAATGATCAGAGGGCTAGAACACCTCTCCTATGAGGACAGGCTGAGAGAGTTGGGGTTGTTCAGCCTGGAGAAGAGAAGGCTCCGGGGAGACCTTATTGTGGCCTTTCAGTACTTAAAGGGGACCTACCTATAAGAAAGCTGGAGACAAACTTTTTAGCAGAGCCTGTTGTGATAGGACAAGGTGTAATGGTTTTAAACTAGAAGGGGGTAGATGCAGAGTAGATATAAGGAAGAAAATTTTTACAGTGAGGGTGGTGAAACACTGGAACAGGTTGCCCAGAGAGGCTGTAGATGCCCCATTATTGGAAGCATTCGAGGTCAGGCTGGACAGGGGTCTGAGCAACCTGATCTAGTTGAAGATGTCCCTGCTCATTGCAGGGAGGTTGGACTACATGACCTTTAAAGATCCCTTCCAACCCAAACTATTCTATGATTTTACTTCTACATATAGCACCAGAAGAAAAAGAAGAGAGATTAACAGTTACAGCTAGAGCGTTTTTCCGTAGAGAACACAGGGTACGCTGCTGGGAAACAGTTACGTGTATTGCATGGCAGAAGTGCAAACTCTTTACAAAGTTGTCTCCTCCATGTCCCACAGTAACTCAGTCCAAAGTAAAGATTTCAGAAGTAAGATTTGCAGCACTGGTACAGACAGTAGGACTGATCTGCAGGCAGTGGGGGTGCAACACAGAGGGCCTAGGTATGCTAGTATGGAGTTCCAGGCCTTCTCCACCACCTTCGAACCTCCATCTCCTCTTAGACTCAAAGAAATAGCCTTGAAAAATAAACTTGAAAATTGACAGCCGAGTGAAACCATTAGAAGGTATTCCTTGTATTATACTTTGAATGCATTTAATAAGTTCTCTGGTCCCTCTTTCTAGTAAGAAAATGAAAACCCCAGAGGAACTTCAGGTTTGTTTATTTAAAGTTCGCTTCTTATTACCTTTAGATGTTTGTGCTTTTGTAATGGAGTAATTCAATATTCTTTTATAGGAAGTAAACATAAGAGAAATTCTTTACAATCCTCCTGAAGATGAGCTGCAGGAGGAATGCTGTCCTTGCCAATTTTAAATCACTTTTGAGCAAGACAGTTTATAAGGAGCTTTTTTATTTACAGGAAGACAACAGTTTTCTACCTCCTAACAACTCTGACATGCCTTTTAGCCAAATTAACATGTGTTGATCTTTCAGTTTTAATATGAATCATATAGACTTAAACAAAATAAATATTTAATATATAATTACATTATTTTTTAAGGAGTCTCAGATCAAAACTGCTTCTCTTAAACATACACTAAATGACAGACCTCATTTTAATTATGCTCTTTTCCTAACTACTTTTCTAATTAAAACAGTTGTGGAAAAAACATTCACAGAAGATATTTTAGAGGAGCCTTACTCCTACTAACTTTCTCCTAGTTATATACAACTTTTTTTTTTTTAATTAATAAGACAATCCAAAGGAAGGTAAAGCATCCAATACAGTATCTGAATATCATCTAAACTTCCTTGAAAGTATAAATCTATTTAACCTTATCAGGTACCTCTTCTGAAATAAGTTTTGAAAATAGTTTTGACATACCTGTATTAAGAAGTTAGTTTCAGTTCTTTTCATGAAAGGTTCAATGTAAGACTTGATTTTACTTGTCAAAAGATCGTAACTGAAGGTTTGGAGAAGGGGAACATATGGATCCTTGCTTTTAATTATGCTTGCCAGCTTCACCCTTAAAGGCTAAGAAAAGCACAGCTTTATACAACACAAAAAATATATCCAGCTGTAAACTTGGCATCTATGCTAAACAGGACATACACAAAGCTAAACACAATGATTATATAGTTTTCTGAATATGCCTATACAACTTCATGCTACAGTTTGAAAGGGTTCTAAAGTTAACTAGGCATAGTACCAGGTGTTTACTTTATGTGCTCATTAAATGGTTAAGTGTAACTTTACAGTGATCCTCATTTTCATTCCCTTTATGAACAACACTGAAAGCAGGGCTGTGAATGGAGCAAAAACACCCAGAAAAGGCCAGTCATTACTGGGCTCTCTTTTCTCATTTGCTGCCTCAGGAAGACTGCCATTGAAAGGCATTTACAGTGTTCAGGAAAAGGACTATTTAGTAGAGTAGCATTAAGGACACATTGATCCTGATAATTGCAACTTCACATTTTGTCTACCAACCACTCTGAATCTCACAGAGACCCATATAGCCCAGAATTAACTTCTGTGTGCAGGTTGCATTTTTATTTATGAATTTGGATACTATTACCACAGCCTACACTTTCAAACACCTGAATCCTCTGAATGAAGAGTGTACCTGAAGAATAAATTATACACATGCTACTATTTACAAAGAACATGTGTCCTAATATACAGAAGAAGATAAGAGGCAGCATTTTTGCCTCTGTCTTTCTGCCTGCAGTCCTCCTTTTGCTCTTTTCTCCACCCCAGCAAACTCGGGTGTGTGCACTAGCCATTATTTTAAAAAGAGATATGCATAGGCAGTAATTACAATGAAGCTATGCAGGTAGCATATGCTAGCTTTGGAAACCCATTCCCCTCTTCTCTTCTGAAAATGAGAGTGCTTAATGTAGGTTAAGCAAGTTTCTACCTTATCTGATTCTGAGTCTGTAAATAGCCTTTCAAGAACTTCAGCAGCCTCCTTGAAATATCCGTTTTCCATATGGACTGCTACAATCTACAACAAATATAATTACAAGATGTGCTGAAATACATTTCACCTGAGATGCAGAAAAAAGTGAAGTAACACTTTTACAGTTTTGTAACACTCCCAAAATCCAGGATTATATATTTAAGGGTCACCACATTATCTAGTTATAAAAGTTAGTTCTGAAATAATATTAAACCTCATGTATAAAGGCCTAAAACCTCTCCACCGGACATTAAAAGGACCCTCATTGATGCAAAACTTCCCATACCTACCTACTAAGTATTGCTTTCATCTTTCCCTGACAGACTTTGTCCCAGTAGCTGTCAACATGGTTTTACATTTCTCTTTGAAATGGAAAGTTTTCTAATACAAAGAAGCATTTTAAGAAAAAAGAAAAAAAAGCTATTTATAATACATTTTAAAGCTCAAGATACTAGTGTTTTTAAATTGATCTCTCAATTGATATCTCTTTTTTTTCAGATTGGCAGCTTTTGAAACAATTTTGAACTGGGACAAACAAGAACCAATTTAGATAGGAAAAGGTCCCCTGTACAGATCTATTTACTCTGTACTTGAAAAAACAACAAACTTAAAAGATTCAGTTCAGCCTGCTAATAGCCCAAGCTTTTTGTAAGAGGACCCTTGTTTTAGCAGAAGGAATAGGTAGCATCCTGAAGCATTTTGAGCAAGTCACACAGACCTGAATTTGAATCAAGCGGCGAATATCTCCATGAAGCTTTTCCAGTTTAATTTCTTCCCTTTCAAGCAAAGTCCAGAAAGACAGAGCAGATTCCAAAGGTGACATTCTTTCTTCATTTTCAAAATGGCATTCTGGAGGGGGGTGGGGGGTGTATTTAAAAAAAACTTAAAGGATAAAGCTAAATATATTACATTATTTATACACAATAAAGTAATATGTACTATACTTAATTTCAACTCCTTTTTCCTCAAATAAATTTTAGTCTTTCTCTTCAGGTGTGTTTAAGAGACCTGAAGTAACTGCCTTCTTTTCAGAGAAACTGGTTCTTCCCACTCTTGCTAATAACATTACTGTTGCATTTTTAAGGGAGATTATGCATCTGCTAATTATTGTTCACTTAAAATGCCACTTGTAATAGTGCTAATTTAGCATCATGTATTTGGGCTGGCATTAATAATACTCTTACATTAAGCTTGACAACAGATATCAAAACATTTGGTATTGAAACTGTTAATTTTGTAATATAACCACTATCCTAAGTTTTTCTCCTCAGTCTCTCTCTCTATTCTCATGTCTTAACTTTTTGTTATATTTGAAGGGCTTAAACTGAGAGGGAAATTCAAACAGCTTAACACAGGAGTGTCACTGAAAAAGCAGAAGCAACCTCCCCTGTCATTGTACCACTGTGCCAACACCAAGGTTTGTACAAACTCCCAGCAAGCAAGACCAGTGATCGATTCTGGTAGAAATGTAGTCCAGCCACATAACCACTTTAGTAATAGTTTCCCAGTCTGACCACTGCACATCTGCACAGGTGAGTGTGACAACAGAACAGATGCAGTAGGACCTGGCAGGTGCACAAGACTGCTTTTTTCTCCCATGGCACTGCCAGCTTAGCTCAAGATGTTCATTGAGCTACAGTCTCACTTATTCCTTCATTTTATATGACATCATAGCAGAATCTCTCTCAATATCTTCTTATTCCTTAGAGTATTTTTCAGACAGAAGGTAAACAACTTAAGCAATACTGAAAAAAAAATATAATATTTGCTACCCACTACAGCAAAAGACAAACACTGAAAAATTATATGTATATATAGACATTACAAAAATAACACTTCTGTGTTTCTCTAATTATTATTTCACTCAAGTAATATGACACTTAATATTAAGTTTATTTTAATATTGTAAAAACAAAGTGTTTAGCTCTTAAAGAGCTGGCATCTGAAACAACCTACTCTGTTTTAAGGCTCAGTACAGATTAAATATTTTAATAACTGGAAAAGAATTAGGAAAGCTACCATACAATATATTAGCCTTCCATGTACATTGTGCAACTACATCTGATGTAATGCCTACTAAGCACATGAAATCTTCCTCACCACACAGGTCATTCTCTACACTGATGGATAAAAACACATGTTGAAGTCATATTCCCAAGTGTTCTATATAACAATACAGTTTTAAAGCATTATCAGAAAATTTTCATAATTTTTATATGAACTATTTTAAATATTAGAATGTGATTCTCAAGTTGAACTAAACCAAGAAGAGTGTTATTACCTGACAAGCAACACAAGAGATTTCATTTTATAAAAACAAGCCTTTGTGGCACTGCTAGGCTAGAATACACTTTTTTCTTCCATGCTCATGCTAGCAAGGCAGCTTCTGAAGTCCTTAAATTCCAACGAGTTTTATCAAGCAGTGATAAACTTGCAGCAAAAAAGTTAAGTCTTCCAGAAACTTGAGTGTGGAAGCAAAATCAGCTTGGCTAAACCAGTAAGTTGTGAATACTGCCAAACAGGAGACATGGTAGCGAATAAGAGTCCCAAGGACCTGCTGCCAGCTGAAAGTCTTACAGCCTTCTGTAAGGAACAAGGGCAGCCATACTTTTCATCCGTATTCTTATTCCTACTGTCTGTTCTACTTCAACCTCTAGAGTTACACATGCAGAAAGAAACACAAATTCTGTGCTTTAAACTTGCAAATATTGCTCACTAAGAGCTAGTCAATCTTTTCCAGTATATTTCTTTAGTTGATGCTACTCTGACAAAAGAGACCTATAATTTAAGAAGCATATAGTCATTCAAAATCAAAGCAGCTAAATTAGTCAGCACAGAATAACACTGGTCCTGCATACAGCTCAGTCACATGTGGAATGTAGAGAGACCGAAATTTAAGAGTTTAGTCATTTCATATATATATATAGTAAAGGCTACATGAAAACATATCTAATACATCTTTGTGCAAGTTCACACAAATCTATTTAAACAAGTGAAACAAAAGAATCAGAGTACTTACCAAGGTTTTTTCCTTCTGCAATTCTTATCAAAAGCTGACAGAGATACACCATTTTTTTCTGATGTGTAGGTATTTTGGAGAAGCCATCAATAAGAGCTGGAAAAGAAGAGAAATGTTAAGTCAGTCTTGCTCCAGCACTGCCACAGTGTGGCTAGAAATATACTAGACAGTGTGTTATCAGACTTTAATAATCTACTAAATTTCTAATTCATCAGGAAACTGATGAAGCACATTTAGTTCATATTCTTCCATGTTAAAAGAACTTAAATCATATTTAAGAATTTGATCAGAAAAACCTATCCCTCTTGCAGTTCATAACAGTAACCTAGAAGTTGTAAGATGCATCACAGGCTTATTTCATCAAGTTAAAAGACCACAGTATCTTACATAAATAACGAAGTTTCGTTTGGCTCAGTAGCTTATTAAGAAATGTTCTCTGGAGCAGACAGTTGTCTTTCGGTGGAATGCCCACAAAACATAAGCCACATGCAGACTGGTAACACTTACATGTTGCTACAACAACCGACAGACCAAAAGCAGTAAAAGCTATGAGGAGAGCTTCATCAGAAATGTAAATCTACAAGGGAAATCCTCCTCGCGAGGTTGGAAGGTCACAAGGATTACTATAGATTTTAGAATGGGAGCTATCATGAGATTATTCCATCATGCTGTTTACTGGGAACTTTATATCTTAATGTGCTGAATATAGTCATTTGTCTTCACAGCATAATACAGAAACATTCAAAATGAAAAGTGAAGAATGTGGCAAGTGACTTGTTGAAGCTGCAGACTGAACACCCTCGTTGAGAAGTGTTTATGTACACATTTTGGTGTCAGCCTAGCAAGAGCCAGGATTCTGGGGCATGGGACCCCCAAGTTTGCAGTGACACAACTAGAGCACATAACACGTTGTTTTACTGGGAAGTACTCAGCCTACTTGCTTATTAGTGTATGATCATCTCCTATGAACAATGGATAAGCATGAAATTACAAAATAATTAAATAGCCCTGAATGATTACCTAAGACAATATCAAGCAGGATATTGTCATTTGAGCTTGGAAGAACACATTTACAGCTGCTTCAGTGAGGATAGGTGATACAAGAGCTTTTAATTCCTATAGCCAAAATAGGAAATAAAAAAAACAAACCCGAACATTGCTTAGAAGAGCAGTAGTGTGCCACTCGTTATAATCACAAATTCACACACCTTCCATAGCAGACAGAGTTAAATTTCAGAAAGTTTGGATGAGGTCAATGATAGAGATAAGCACCAACATCGTGCCCTGAAGATGGAGCCAGAGCGTGGAAATTTTGGAAGTAGGCAGAATACTGCAGCTGAACACTTCCACAAAACAAAAGGGGTCATCCTGGCAAGTAGCTTAAGATCTTTCAGCTTTCTCCGTTCTTTTAAGGTGCACCTACATTAGTGCTTTAATTCAGAGCAGGGGTGCATTTTTAAAGCAAACTTCCTGTGCTTGGTTTGTACAATGGAGCAGTCTTGAGTACACAAACTGAATTCCTTTAGAACTATTCCGAAAAAGAAGAAACTTTGAAACATTTACTGTGTGGACACCAGGTCCTTAGCAGCAATTACTCACAAGTAATGCGGACAAACAGAAAGAGACACAGCCTTAGTAATCTTTTATAGACTGTTCTCCCTCCCGGCTCCCAAGGCAGTTTCTCTATTAATTTGTTTGTTAATAGCTCCCTCAATCATAAATTGCTTTCCTTCTTATGGCCACTCAAATGTATTTCTCATCTTAGCCTTTCATTAGAAACTCTAGAAATACAGTTCCTTGCCATGTAGGCACTTACACAAGCTAGTTCAGGTATATAGACCATAATATCCTGTCAAGGCAGGATAAGGTAGGCAAGGCATGTAACCTTGCCATGCTGTCTTTAAAGCCTTAATTCCATGTAGCCTAGCTACTTCTACTTGGCAGTGTACCAAGCTATACAGAAATATTATTTATCTCCTAATAAAATAGCTTGTCTTGTTCCCTTAGCCTTCCTACCTTTCTGTACTTGCTTCAGTTCAAATTGACCTTCTTGTTGACAGCCAATCATTATTTCAGTAGGATCTCACTTTGACGTATGCAAGGGTAATAGTTCTGTATTTCTATGACAAAAAACACACCCACTTTTCTAATGCAGTCTTATGACTGTGCTTAGCTTTTTCCATAGACTTTTATACTTCTGACTCTAATCTTACAGCACCGATATGACCAACTCTTTCCTCTGTTGCTGAGCAGAGCAGGAGCAAATTCCAAATTTGCTATTAAAGTGCCACGTGACCTCACATTCTGTATGTTTTAATTAATTGTTTCTACTAATACAGGCCTCAAAAGTTTTCCTGTTCTTATCAGGAGATATTCCAATCTGCTTCTGTGTTGACAGTGTCTCTGCTTCCCACCTATGTCTTCATGAGATTTCAGTATGATTCTCCCACTGAGTCATGGTCCCAAGGCCAAACACAGAGAAGCACCATTAATAATTTAATCTAGCAGCCCCCCATTCACTGTACTTAATTATGTTATCTTTAGATTTCTTACCTCTTACAATTTCTCATATCAATCTCCTTACTAATCATTCTGCATGCCGTTGCTTTCTGTTCTTAGTACGACTTATTTAAACTTTTGCAATCATGTTTACTCGAGTCAAGAACACACACACGTAAAAATTAATCCCCAAAATCTCTAACCTGGTATGCTCAGGAAAATTATTTCTAACAGAAAAACCACCATAAATCCAACAAATTTATCTGAGACCAAGACATTTGCTTCCAGCTGTTAACTACTCTCATTCTCAAGTATTTCTCACTTTAAAAACAATTTTTTTCCATTCAAAATCCAGTCACCAGACGTCTCCACCTTCGTCTGCTAGACTATAGTTCCTTGAAATACTTCTAGTTCTTCTACCATAACCCTGAATATAAAGTCAAGGAACTCAGTGTATTTAAGTAATTCTACTCTGGTTTTTACCATGTTTGCATCTCTTCACAAAATCCTCTTCAACTTTTTGGTAGCCTCGAACTGCCGGCATCTGAGGCCTCAACTTCAGTGACTGCTCACGGTATATAGACAACCAAGTTATACATTCAAGCTTCACAGAATCAAGATGACAAGTTAACAGCAGCGTTCGTATTCACCGAATCATCTAAAAGTCCTCACACCCGACCCCTCAGTAACCACTGTTTCCTTGGAACAGTTCAGCTTGCTTCCCTCCCTGGTCTCTTTCAACCAAAAAATTGGAATTCCCCGAAATTGCGATTATCTCACAATAGTCCAGCAGAGCTACCGCTGCACGCTAAACTCAAACACCGGTGGGTTAAGCAACCAAACAAGAACTCGGCCTGCGCGGTTTTATTTCCACCGCGAGCAAACGCACAAGTGCGTGCGGGGGGGCTGTGAGCGCGGCAGCACCCTCCCCGCCGCGCGGGAGACAGCTGCCCCCCGCCCCCTGCGGGGACACGCTCGCTGCCGTCCGAGCGGCCGAGACCCACGCGCGCCCCCGCCCTCGGAACCCCGGCAACCGCCGCCGCCCCTCACCCTGCGCCACGGCCCTCCACCGCCGGAACGGCGCCGCGCGCCCCTCCCCGAAGTGCCGGCACAGGCAGTAGCAGGCGAACTCCAGCATCCAGTCCGCGGCCACAGCTTCCGCCTCAGCCGGCGGGGCGGCGGCGGCGGCGGCGGCGGAGGAGGAGGAGGAGGAGGAGCCGCCGCCGCCCGCCTCTACCGGTGAGCCGCCGGCCACTGCTGCCATCTTAAACCCGCGCGCCAACGGCTGCTGGCTGGCCCCGCTCCGCCAACGGCCCGCCTCGCGCTCCCCCAGCCCCGCCCCTTGCCGCGCGGCAGCCACTCAGCGCGGCCGCCTCCTCCCGGCCCTGGTCTCCGTCACCTCCGCCGGTGGGCGGGGCCGCGCCAATCAGTCCTCTGAGGAAGGGGATAGGCGGGGCCCGGGCTGGGCGCGGCGGTGACGTCATGCGCCGCCCGGCCGGAGGGCGGGTAGCGGGGAGGTTGTGCGCCCGCCTGGTGCCGGGGGGCCCCGGGACGGCGGGCCGCACGCAGGAGCGTGTCTGGCACTGTCTCGTCGGCTTGTAGGAGCCCTTCTGCAGGGCATCCCCTTTACCTCGAACTGAATAAACGACGTGACGCGGCCCACGCGGTGTAAGCGGCCCACGATGGCACCCTGTCCCCTGACAGGAACGTTCTGGAAGGTCTGGGCTGTGCCCCCGCTGGCCACTGGTGATTTGAGAGCTTTCCCCTGCTGTTGCTCTGTCCTGAGAGACTTTGGTGTAGCAATGCGAATACAGATATCTTTTGGTGTTAGAGGCTGAGAAGTTGAAGGACTGTCCTGCCCCAGGGCAGGTGGCCGTGAGAGCTGCCATGGTTTCTGCGAGACTAAAATGCAAAACACAGGTGTTTGTGCATGTGTGAGGTGAAGGGCTTCCTGTAAGAAGCATGTCGTCACATGGATTCTGGAGAGAGAAGGCTGCTGGAGGAGGGAGGGAGAAGATGTCAGTGTTGCAGAACCTGGAAACTGACAAGTGGAAGCCTCAAATTGCCAGTGAAGCCCAGGATGAAACATGAAGAGTGACTGAATTATTTGGGGTGTGGTGTGCGCCTATCTGAAAAGGCAATCCTCTGTACGTTTTAAAATGTTAAGGAGCAAGTAGGTAGTCAACGATGAGATGAATTTAAGGCAAGTGCTGAAGGGCAGAACGGTTTTCTTGTCTGAGGCTTGACAGAGGGTGAAATAGTCTTTTGGTAGATATGCCGGAAGGGTGAAAGGCTTTAACTTGCGCTTAACTTTACTTCTGGGATGAACAGTATGATATCAAAGAGCAGAATGAACAAACTGGTAGGCCTTTGCTGCCTTTGACTCCTGTGGTCACATTAAATGCACCTGCGGCAGTCATGCTGAGGTCAAACAGAGAAGAAAATACATAATTTGAGATTAAAAAGATCATCTGTTTGGACATCTTTATTAGTAGAAGGTAAGATTGAAATTTGCACTTTGGAAGAGACAATGTTTGGCAATAGTTGTAAGTTTATGTTGTAGTAAGCTTACAGATGCATGTTTGCATGTGTATCTACAATAACAACTTCAAGGACATGAATTCTTTAGATTGGGCAAATTTGCTCTTATTTGCTATATTGCTTGATAGTACTTCAGGATAACAGCAAGCCTGAAACTGTGACAAGCTTTATCAGGCTGCTGACAATCTCAGCCATCAAAATTCTCAAAGTGTTAGAGTTAGTATAAGTGATGACATGAACTAGTTAGACATAAAAAATGAGATCATTATGCATTAATCTTTAATTGAGCATGCGTTTGTGGGGTTTTGTAGTAGAAACAGTGGCAGGAAGGTATATCAAAGCTCGAAATTACCATGATCAAACAACAGCAGGAACAAACCTCCAAACTTGATTTTTTTGGCATTAATTCTGTTTAGGTCCTCTTTGCCTCCAGCAGATTCTGCCTGCAGTGGTTCAAATGGAGGGAGACTTGATAGAAAATGTACTTTGGAAAGCCACAGTAGTTGCTTTGGCCTGTTAAGCCTCAGCAAATATCCCCAAACCAGTGCAGTATTTCTATACTACATTCTGTGACAAACACGAGTTTTGTCTGACTTTCCTTTAGTTATCATATTTCTTTATGGGTGAATTTGTGTATCAATCTAAATTATCTCCACCCCTAACACCTGGAAAGTCCAAGATACTTGTGCACCTTAAAACAGTACATTTCTGCCTGCCTTGTGAGCAGCAGCAGAGGACAGTGTTTTAAAACTGTCTCTTCAATCTGAAAACAATGTGTGAAGATGCTTCTAATGCAAGTAACTTTTCATCTAGGAAAGTACAAATTTAATGTAATTTTCAAACTCCTTCTTGCAGCCTGTGCCCTTCTGTTGTTTTGCACACCCACAAAGGAACACTGACAGACAGTAATGGGGCAGGGAAAGCCCAGATAATCCCCTGCCCTGGATACTCAAAGTCCCATCACAGGCCCATCTCCACAAGCCCAGAGGAGCACAGGACACCACAGCAGGCAGAAACCCAAACTGCAGACTGGTGACTATGAGCACTGTATCCAGGCCCCTCCCAGGGTTGCCCCAGGAGAGCCCCAGCCCCCCCCCCCCCCTCCCGTGTCCAAGGGTGAAAACCATCACCATCAGTCATCGGGAACAGCTTTTCGGATCACCTTTTGGGTGCTGCTGAGGGGTGGGAGACATGATGGGTTACAGAGGAAAAGCATTTCCTCCAAGTGATGGAGGAGCCAACAAAGAGAGGTGCTATGCTGGACCTTGTTCTCACCAGCAAGGAGGGGCTGGTGGGGAACGTGAAGATCAAGGGCAGCCTTGGCTGCAGTGACCATGAAATGGTGGAGTTCAAGATCCTTAGGGCAGCGAGGAGGGTGCACAGCAAGCTCGCTACCCTGGACTTCAGGAGAGCAGACTTTGGCCTCTTCAGAGATCTACTTGGTAGAGTACCATGGGAGACAGCCCTGGAGGGAAGAGGGGCCCAAGAAAGCTGGTTAATATTTCAGGATCACCTCCTCTAAGCTCAGGAGCAATGCATCCCAACAAAGAGGAAGTCAGGCAAGAATGCCAGGAGGCCTGCATGGATGAACAAAGAGCTCCTGGACAAACTCAAACACAAAAAGGAGGCCTACAGAGGGTGGAAGCAAGGACAGGTAGCCTGTGAGGAATACAGAGAAATTGTCTGAGCAGCCAGGGATCAGGTTAGGAAAGCCAAAGCCCTGATAGAATCAAAGCTGGCCAGGGACATCAAGGGCAACAAGAAAAGCTTCTGTAGGTACATTGGTGATAAAAGGAAGACTAGGGAAAATGTGGACTCTCTCTAGAAGGAAATGGGAGACCTGGTTACCCAGGACTTGGAGAATGCTGAGGTACTCAACAACCTTTTTGCCTCAGTCTTCACTGGCAAGTGCTCCAGCCACACCACCCAAGTTGCAGAAGGCAAAGGTAGGGACTGGCAGAATGAAGAACTGCCCACTGAGGGAGAAGATCAGGTTCAAGACCATCTAAGGAACTTGAAGGTGCACAAGTCCATGGGACTTGATGGGATGCATCCATGGGTCCTGACGGAACTGGCAGATGAAGTGGCTAAGACACTTTCCATCATATTTGAGAAGTTGTGGCAGTCCGGGGAGGTTCCCACTGATTGAAAAAGGGGAAACATAGCCCCCATTTTTAAAAAGGGGAAAAAGGAAGACCCGGGGAACTACAGGACAGTCAGTCTCACCTCTGTGCCTGGCAAGATGATGGAGTGGATCCTCGTGGGCACATGGAAAATCAGGAGGTGATTGGTGACAGCCAACCTGGCTTCACTAACAGCAAGTCATGCCTGACAAATTTGGTGGCCTTCTACAATGGGGTTACAGCATTGGTGGATAAGGGAGGAGCAAGAGACGTCATCTACCTGGAATTATGCAAAGCATTTGACACTGTCCCACATGACGTCCTTGTCTCTAAATTGGGGAGGCATGGATTTGGCAGATGGACCGCTGGCTGGATAAAGAATTGACTGGATGGTTGCACTCAGAGTTGGGGTCAACGGCTTGATGTCCGAATGGAGAGCAGTGACAAGTGGTGTTCCTCAGGGATCGGTGTTGGGACCGGCGCTGTTTACATCTTTGTCGGTGACTGTCACAAATGTGATTATGTTACATGGCTTTGGTTTAGCAGCAATTTAGGATTTATTAGTATTTTTGAGATAGATCACAAGATTAGGTTGTATAACTTTAACAGTACTTAATCATGAGCCAATTCAACAGGGTGATTCGATGGAATTTGCTACAATCAAATTTGTGAGTTAAAGATTCAAAAATGGCAAGGATCACCCAAAACTTACAGCACAGTTGCACACAGATGGAGGTGAAATCAAATCACACACAACGCTCAGACAGAGAAAACAGTTCTGAGCCACACACAGACAGGCAAATAGTTCTGAACCAAACTGCAAATGTACACTCACAGATACAACACACACACACACACAGAGGTTAACCTATGAATAAAATTTCCTTTTTGTGAGTTTCGTGAGTTACTTTTATGTGCATTTATCAACGGACGGTCAGTAAACCTCACAAAATCAGGCCTTTAAGTCCTCATGAAATGGTCGATGGACGATCTTTCAATCCTCCTGAATTCAAACCTGAGAGGCGTCCCAGCTCAGGGGGAGATACTGGGTCACACAGCCCACTGTGGTCCCAGAGAGCTCAAAAAGTCTCTCCTTGGATCACTATTTGTAGGGTCTCAAGATTATTGGCTTTTGTCATTGTCATGGTTTAACCCCAGTGTTGTGGGTTTGTGTGGCATGGGTTTTTTTGGTGGCTGGGGCGGGGGCGGGAGGGAGCAAGCAGCTGCCTGGTGCTTTGTTACCGGCCAGGCTTAAACCACAACACCCAGCCAGCAACTAAGCACCATGCGGCCACCCTATCACTCCGTGCCTCAGCTAGACAGAGGAGAGAAAATATAACAAAAGGCTCATGGGTCAAGATAAGGACAGGGAGAGATTACTCGCCAGTTACCATCATGGGCAAAACAGACTCAACTTGGGAGGGGGGAGGTGTGCACCACCACAGCGACATGCACAGTGAGATTGAGTGCACCC